CAAATTTACTATACGTTATAACCATCTACTCGGAGATTATAACCATTCTCTTGGTATCCTAAAACTCAAGATCTCAAACACCAAACGGAGTCAAGCTAAATGAAAATAGGTATAAATTGACGTAAAAAGCAAAAAAAAGAAATAAATAACCGATTACTCCTTTACCTGTATTAAGGGTTATAAATTAAAAAAAAATTAACGAATAAAAGTACATTTCATTGGTCCGTTAACAATTTATGCAATTTACACAGTATTAAGGATAGGCATGTGACACTTTGGTCGCTTACTCCTTTGCTGTGATTATGTTTGTATTTATATGATGGCATAAAAACGTAACAAAGCGCAAAACGTTACATCTATTTGTTTTCAATATATGAACTGTGGTTAGTATTCATGACACGAGGATGTGATTTGTGTTCCTTGGATGTGATCACGATCATCTGATCTATAAATAGAATAAGTATTGTATGGCGAACTATTCTTTGCTTAAAAGATAATTAATTATAAATAGTAATTTTATACAAGATTCCCTATTACTGGTATTTCCAGAAGTGCCAAATAAAAAAGCGCGTTGACAAGTTATTAGGTAAAGATCTTAGACTAAACGTAAACAATGTCGCGTGATCAGGCATTTTGCTATATTAATAACAAACTAGTATCCAATTTCTGATAAAAACTGGTTTTTTGTTGGACGATCTTATGACGTTGTCCGTGGTGCTGTTCCCGGCGCGATTACTTTATTAGTTTGCCGTTATTAGAATTCCTTGGATATGAATTCTTGTTTATAGATTAAGTATATGCATAAAAAGGAATTGATCCTTCTCGATGCGCGTATGAAAATTTCTTAATATTCCCTTACACAAGCATAATTGTCGGACGGTAGTTGCCGAATAAAGATGATCAAAACTGACGTAATAATAGGTCTGAAGTTAACATAGAATAACACAATTACTAATAAAAATACCAACACCAATAAAAACACGTTATTTAGTACTTAAATTTCGAGATTCCTTCCGGGAATTTTGATCATAATTCTTTCTTTGTACCATTATTCTTATTGTTGTTATTATTATTTTAGGTTAATATTTTCTTGTCATTTTTATTAATTGTAACTTACCTTTCTCTTATCGGTATTAAAACAAACAAAAGGTTCATTTTACCTCATCCGAACACCGAATTCTCGAAAATATCACCGTCTGCGTCACAATGTATTAGAAATATATATATGTACATATATATATGTTTCTAACTTGAGACGCACATGATGACCCGGGACAGCCTTCTTCTCCGACCGAAAGTTCGCTCCCTTTGGAGTCAATGATCCCCCCTAAGTTCAGTGACAGGGTTTGTGGCGGTCTTTATCAAATCGGTCACGTAATTATCTGTTTGAGTTAATCACATCTGTCTTACCGGAATTAAAATTCATTCCTAAGACGGTGTCTCACCGTCCGGGACGATGAGAGAAATACAACCAAAACAGATTAACGCCTCAAACTCGTAATGGAGTTCATTTAACCCCTTATTAAACCAACATAGCATCGTCCTTCTGTCGTGAACATGATTCACAACTTTTGCATTTTTTCCATTACTGCGGCAGAATTGGCCTCAAATGGTTAATAGGATTTATAATAAATATAGAGGTTCAGAGTACATTTATTTAAATTAGATAAACATCTGTTGTCATCTCTTAAGCTATTTTGCTTAACTTGGTTTTATCGTCCTTTAAACTCCTTTTTTTCTCTTCATTTAATTGTTTTTTTTTCACTTTTATAATGGTATTTGTTTTTTCTATTATTTAAGGTTCGAATAAATCTATCTCGTTTAAAAAAAACTCGTCTAGATGTTGTTTTTTTTCTTATTCACTTTTATATAACATTTTTAGGTTTCTCTTTACTATATATAGAAAGATTCTTAATGCGGGTAAAACATGCTCAGAAAAAAGAGAATTAAGGAGTTTTCTCAACAGTTACTCCCTGAGTGAGTATAACGTTCAAGTTTTATTATCATTATTATTATGTTTTATCATATCGCTAAAATTTTTTTTATCATCCTTCGTTATGAATATCTTTTCTCGTTCTCTTTATTTTTTTTTTTTATATTCATTTTTTATAGAGTAGAACTAGATTCTAAACCATTATTAGAATCGGTTATTCTCGAAGTGATTTTCATGTTCGTAACGGAAACAGATTCTTCTATTTCCTATTATAATTATTCTGCTTTGAAAAACTTACATTCTTGCCTTTTGGTAAATCGGCAATGGTGTGAAAGCGCTGTGCGCATTCTATGGCGTCGACCCTTCAGTCCATATCATAACGGTGGTCATAAAGTGATAACCACTTATTTGAAAAGTTTAGACGTTGAGGAACGAAGAGACTTGAAACTAAAGGGTATAAAATTACCTACTGTTTCACCACCTCCATTATTTAATTATTCCTCATTAATTCGACATCTTGATTATGGAGAAATGTTATATGCTGTTGAAGTTTGGTGCAGAAATTTACCTAAAAAAAGACCTGATTCTGTTATAACTATAATGAGAGTTTTGTTGAGGCTTTTTTTACATAATGCTGGTCCTCTTACTTCATTAAAGCTTGCTACTCTCGGTGAAGATTATCACGATGAAAGATGTATGATATTGACCGAACCTGAAATTAGAGGTTTGATTACATCTGTGCGAACTCTTTCCCTAGATGGTTTTGATTATAACCAGCAAGGTTTATTGGCTAGACTTCCAGATTTATGTCAGAACGTGGTAAGCGTCCATATAATTTTAAATGCACACTCTTTATACTCTTTATATTCTTTGATACAAAAATCATTAAAAAAAAAACTTTTTTTGGATATATATTATAGGAACATTTATATCTTCGTGGTTGGTATGGGCATCAGCCATATAAAACAGATGTCACGTCACCAATGAATGACTCTGCTGCAGTCTCATTACGGAGATTAATCAAAGCACAAAAAAATTTAAAAACCTTTGACATGATAAATTGTAGAGCCTACCTTGGCTACATTATATCAGCATTAGATACCCAATCAATTTCATTGCTATCAATGAAATTTAGATTAGTGGATTTTAAAGATTGTGGTCCATGGGAAGGTTTAGCATCATGCATGAAATTAAAAAATTTGGAGTTTTGGTTTTGTAAAGGAATTACCCATAAAATGATCAAGCCTCTTTTAGGAAAAATATTTTCGGAGTTGGAAGAAGTTAAATTATTGCAATATGGAATTGGTTGTGAAGAATTTAATTACTGGGTGAATAAGATTAATGGAATTAGTAATACTAGTAACTCTAACATTTGTACTGTGGTGGATGAATTTGAGTTTGAAAACACAAACTTTATTAGTTAATTTGGTAGTGAAATTATTTAGAGAAACAAAAAAAAAAAAGAAAGAAAAGTGAAACAAAAAAAAAAAAAAAAACGAGTTGTCAATATATATGGTATCTTTGCAAAGAAGAATGATATAGTTCTGGCCATTATGGTAGCAGATATCAATTGGACATATCGGTTTTTTATACATATCACATCTTGTAACACAAACACACATTCACATTTATACATTACATTTATACACATTTTAAAATTTAAAAATTAGATATTAACACATTCCAAGGAAGATAGTTTTGTATATTTTACACATCATCTTTTTTTTCAGGCTTGCATTTATATAATGCATAACTTAGAAACCTGATTTTTTTTCGGTATCATTATTAATAGTAATCATTAGATTTGGAACATTTATTCGTATATAGTAGTATATTAATATTACGTATATATATGTATCTTTAGTGTGAAAAAATTTATTTTTTATAACAAAAATACCTTAAGTTTATATGAATAAATATCTTGACGCAAAGTTATGAAGTTATGAATGATATATTACGCGTATAAGCGCAAGGTTAGAGTTGCTCATTATTAAGTTTTGAGACCGGCTTTATTTTCACGTGACATCATTAGGAAATTTTGTCTATGATCTATTAGAAATTTTTAATACAAATATATACATAACAGAATAAGATTATTTAGAAAAAAAAACATTGTTAAAGAATGTTCTATTATACTCCGCAACGATGAACTGGTTTCCAACCGTAGTTAAAACCGATTAAACTCGGTTTCAACATGTGAAAAATAAAACTACCAATTATCGTTATAGACTTATATGCTATATACGTAAATATTGCTTAGCTGTTAGAATACGTACAATACGTACGTATAAACATTTATTAATTGAATGATTAGTTATTTTTATTAATCAACGTATAAAAGAACTATTTGATCGTTTAAAGTCTAATCTAATGAACAGTCAATCAGGATAGCGAAAAACAGGCCAGAATAACGTAATCCTAAAAAAAATTAAGCCATAATATTGAAAAAAAAATTTAGGTTATGTGTGACAATTTGGTCACGTTGCACGAAACAATGACAAACAAAGGAAATTCGAGCTTTAAATTTATTGGTACCTTACGATAAAAAAAATTTTAAAGGTGTGGTGTTACATTTAACAAGTTACGACTTCATTGTTATTACGTCAAAAAATTCGCATGTTCTCAAGTACATACGTATCGCATGTTTAAGCGCCGCCATAATGATAACGATAATGATAAATTACCCTGACCAGATTGAGCCCAGGCTGAGCCTAGATTGTGCGGATATTTACTATTGTGTGCACATATCGATATATGTATATGACGTTGATCTCAACTTTAAATTGTGAACAAATTTCTTATTTTGTAATCACTTGACCGTTACCTTTCTTTCCGTTATTTGTTTATATTTATGATATATTTGGTTAAGACAAAGCTCGCAAGTTTATAATTTTTTTTCCCGTTAAACGCCAAGATTTCAAAGTCGAGTGTCGAGTCATTTAGGCGTCAGGCCATATATCGAATGTTGTAATATTCTTATTATTTATTATGATGTATCTTCATAATCGCTATTTAAAAAAGATTGCATCTTTATCGCGGTTAATAAGAAAACGTCAATTCTATAATTATGAAAGGTTCTATTTATATACCATCGGATGTAATCGAAGAAATTCTTTCCCTTATTCAAAACGAACTAACCAATAACGCTGATTATTTGAACAACGAAAGCTCTACGTTGTATAATTGCCTTTTGGTCAACAGACAATGGTGCAAGCTTGTAATCCCACGGCTTTGGCGTCAACCATTTTTATATGCGAAAAAAGGGTGCCCAAAACTTATTTCAATTTTATTAACTTTTCTAACAGATAAAAAACGTAGAATTCTCTTAACTAATGGAATCATTCTCTCATCGTTACCGGATTGCCGTATACGACTTCGAAATTCCCATTCCCAGAAATTCCAAAAATTACATCAATCAAATTTCAATTATGCTTCATTTCTTAAACATTTACATTATGATTACATGTTATCATCTATTGAAGCATGGTGTAGTTATTCAAATCAATCAGCAGGAAATGCAGTTTCTCTCATCACAAATTCTTTGTTGACAATATTTGCAGATAATAATGTCAAGTTAACGAGCCTTTTCATTTGGCCAAATCATATTCATTGGACTCACTATAGTTCAAATAGATATATGGAATTAGTTGAACCTGAATTTAATGGGTTGTTATTGGAGTTAAAAAATCTATATATCGAAACACATTCTAAATATCCATCTGCGAGATTTTTTTCTCAGTTATCTCGGATAGTTAATGTTGTAAGTTAATATACGCACCTATATGTATTTTGCAATATTTGCATTATTGAATTAACCTCAAATTATCTTTTAAAATTGTAGAAAAAATTAGATTTACGTACTCAACTATTGGGTCTTATGGGATTTCCAAATGATTTGGAGAATGAAATGGCTCGTAATATTAGTAAATTAATAAATGCTCAAACCAACTTAATCTCGTTCACACTTTCAAATTCAGTTCGATACACTTCGGATTTTATTAAATCTTTGTTACCTAATGTTCATCATATTAAAAATATTTCATTAATTGAAACAAAAATTTTTGAAATTGATTCTTGGACAATTTTATCTAAATGTATAAATTTACAAAAACTGGAAATTATTAAATGCGCTGGATTGAATGTAGAATCAGTAATACCCTTCATATCTGCTAACTGGTCAACTTTGGAAACAATTCATATTGAAAATAATCAACCAATTGATGTCAATAATGAATTGGAGTTGTGGGCAAATAAAAAGCGGAATAATGAAATTCAACAAGAAAGTTTTATACTTTTTCAAGCAAGATAATCACGTCAGAATTAATTAATTTCACATATTCATAATTATATATGCTATCAGGTATTTATTTATCTCTTATCAAAGTTTATAATGCATTACTTGTAGACATTTTTATCTCATTTATTATCGTAAATTTTTTTATCTCATTCAATAAAGTTTCACCTAATTTAAATATCTATCAATTCTATTAAATCTAATCAAGTTTAATATAAGAGACCTTGCTAATAAGATTAATTATTAATCGATTAAATATAGAGTAAGGTCCCTTATTTTAAATTTGATCCATTCAATTTCACAAATGGTAAGGTCTGAGAACCTTGACTAACACCTTTGTAGGTTCTTAACCAATGAATTAATGACTCAATAATGTTGTGAACGAGGTAAATAATGCCATTTTTTTATATTGAAACTTTGTCACTTTAGCAATATTTTCTTTGGCATTTGTATTAATAGCGTGAATCTAAGTAGTGTTAGTAGTCGAGACCTCAACTATCGACAAAGTCGATATTATAAAAATCGACTTAGTCGACTAAATAATAAAATGTCGAAAGGAAAGTAAACAGTTTCTATTTACACCTTAAGTGTTTTTATTGTAAGATCCAAGATCTATTTAAATAGATTCTGAATTACAATCCATCGATAAGTATTTTAGAAGTTCTATAATGTAAATGTGATAATGTAATAATAGAGGTTCCGGTTTACCATAACTTCCCGAAATCCATTTTTCTGAAATACCATTTCACCGAAGTCGTAATACCGAAAATCCATTTACTGGCGGGACAGAAATAGGTCTGTGTCATTTCACTGAAAAGCAATTAACCGATAAGTTTATTTCACTGAATTATTTCACCGACAGGTTTTTTTAAAATTGCACTCACCTTAACTCTAAATTCTAAACCTGACCTTAACAACAATGACCAGAATTGCTTTGTCGGTGAAATAAACTGTCAGTGAAATAAACTTTTCAGTTAATAGATATTCGGTGAAAGGACAGACTATTTCTGTCCTGTTAGCAAAATGGATTGTCGGTATTACGACTTCGATGAAATGGTATTTCAGAAAAATGGACTTCGGGAAGATGAGCAACAACAAATGATGAAACGTGACCAATTCTACTAAGAATAGACAAAGTCAATATTTTCAATAATAGCAGGCTAAATCAATTAAGCCAACTGTTCGATTTATAAATGCAAAATCTTCACAGGTATCAAATTTATTACTTGTCCTCCTTGTTATTCATCATTACTTTCTTTCATTACTTTTTATCTATCTTTAGTATCATGATAATTTACATCAAAGCACTAACTAAATACGTAGTCAAAAAATATGTAGTCTTATTATAAATTGTAAAGCTATTTCTTTATCGATCAAGATATTGATGTTTTATAATGATTATTCAAAGGTTTGAATGTTGATATCTTACAATAAGCTATACCTTTTTGTCTTTAAACCTTATATAATATTATAAAGTCTTATCACATTTGTACGAAATAATGCTCAGGTTGTGTTATTTCGAGACACGATTTCCAGAAAGTTAAAAATCAACTTAAATGGGAATTTTTTTTTAAAAAATAAAATTGTTTGTATTTGTCAAAATTGTGTCTCATGGAGTGTCATTGTAAACTTTCGAAATAGCGTTATTTCGAATTTCGGCCCGAATTAAGTATAATTCTGGTCAAAATTAAATAACGTCCATGCTTGCTATTTCGGTATTTCGCGCAAATGTGGTCTGATTAATTGAAGCCTCAATTGAGTTCCTAAAGCCACGAAAGTAACGAATGATCTTTATAATAGTTGTTAATGTCAAAAAATATAGTCAAAATTTTATATAATTATGTTTTTAGAATATCAAAATTGGTATTTATATAATGATGTAATGATAATAGAATATTTTCTATATAATCATATCTATATTAAAATATAGTTAGTAATTATAAAAAAAAATTAATTAATCAATTATCTCTAAACCGCCCAGTTTAGCTAGCAAATTTGGTTGCTAAAATTTTTTTTAAATTTTTTAAATTTTGTTTGATTTATTTTATCTAATCTTAAAATTTTTTTAAAAAAAATTTTTAAATTAAAATTATAATCGGAACTCTTTTCCATAGATCATCAAAACAAACAAAATTGATAAAAAAATTTTAAAAAAGAATATAAGTTTCTTTTAATAATATAGTTTTCTAAAAAAATATTAGATTTAATATTCATTAAATTTAATATTACTGAAAATTCAAAAGTCACAAGTAGTTGATTATGGTCTAGTTATTAGTTTAAAGTTGGCAACTTTAGTAAAGAGCAAACAAATTATTTGTTATTCTTGACCTATACAGACTAATCAACAGGTGTTTACCTCTAAGCATAATTGGTCTGTTCTTCTTAAAGTATTTAGAAGATTATAAATTTTGTTTATTTAGTTTTTTTTTTCTTTTTTCTTAATATAAACTTTATTTTTTTTTGAAACCAAAATTATCTGAAAACTTTAATTTTTGTTTGAAAAATTTTTTTTCTAACAAAAATAAGGCATTATACTATCTCAGAAAATTTATAAAAATATATATGATTGATTAAAACAATAAACAACAAAAATAAACAAGCAATCATGTTCTAGTTATAAAAATTTGTAATAATTTATAAAAGAAAACAACAAACATCAAATTATATACAAATCTAAATTAGATAATAGATAATCAAATAACAAAAATATAGAAATAGATAAATAAATAAAATAGTCAAATGAAGATAATTAACAAACAAAGTCTAATTCAGCAGATACAGAGAACAGGTAACAAATTAGATAGATATTTAAATTATAATAAATTAAATTGTATTCTTGAAACATTTATGACTAAAGAACCAAGTGACTTGAAAACTATAATAAAAAACTTAGCTCTTAGTGATTTTTAAAAAATTACAACTAAAGATCTTTTACTATATAGTTAAATACTCAAAGTTCTGAGATGTGTATTAGAAGAAGTTAAAATAATATTAAAGAAACCTATTGAGGATTGGGTCAATAAAATAAAGATAATAAGCTAAAATTTAGATTCAGTTAATTACATGTTAAGTTTAAATAAGGAGAAAATAAAAAGAGAAAAAAGCAAGATAAAGTGGATTAAAGAAAATAATAAAAAAAAAGAAAATTACTTTTGTGCAATATCTAAGAAAAGACAACAAACAGAAGATACAATAATGATAGAAATAAAAGTAAACAGAGACTCAGAACAAATTAAAACACCAGACACAAAAAGGTATCAAGTAATAATATAGCAAACAGAACAAAGATAAGAAGTTACTAGTAATTAAAAATAATTGTACAAAAGTAACAGATAAAAAAAAATATAAGAAAAGTCAGGAAACTTTGCAAGAAAGTATAATACAAAATATTAAAGAAATACCTAAACAAAAGAAGTTAGAAATCAAACCAATAACAGTTTTATTAGAGAACAACATCTAATCATCCAAAAACAGAACATATAATAAGAGGTTCTTCTTTAAAGTAAAAATTTTATTCTTTAAAGTTCTGAAAGAAACTAAAGAATACTGAATTAACTATATAAAATAGGTTCTTAGAAGAAACAAATATATCAAGACAATTAAAGAAGAATTTCAAATGACAATAGTTAAATAGTAGTAAACTTTGACTGTGAGTATAGCAAAAGGACATTAAGTAAACTTATTAAAAAAAAAAAAGGTGACTGATGTAATCTTATCCCAAAAAATATTAAAATTTCAAAAAGGAAATCCAATTTATATCTTAAAAAAAATAAAGAAGTAACAAAACCAAAATACAAAAAAAGATATCAAGTGACCTTAAATTACAAAAAGAGGAATTTAATTTACACTTTAAAAAAAAAGCAAAAACATACAGTTCTAGTAAAAAGAGAAAAGAGAAAATAAAAATTACAAGATATTTGACAATTTGGGATTTGTTAATAAATATTAAGTATAAAGAAATAGAGTATATATGCAGAAGTCTTGGCAATATATATATATTAAAAGTTAAAAAAATACAATTTAATACACTTGCAATAATTGAGGTTACAAGCAATAATTATAATTATATCTCATAATCATTACTATTAAATAATAAAAGTTTAGTTCAAGTAATTCAAAGAAAAGAGAATTATGAACAAAGAAACAGACAAAGTCTTTATATAGCAAAACTATTAAAAATTCTCAAAAAAGCCTCAGAGGTGTTGCTTTTGTATAGTTTAAAAAGTAAAGGTGCAAAATCTGTATATATTTTAGCAAATAGAAATAGTAACTTCAGAAGATTTGTAATAATTACATTTGCAAATTAGAAAAAATTAGAAGCAGCACAGTCCAAACCAATAAAGTATAACAACTACACAGTTTTTTAAAAAGACTACAAAATAAAAAAAAAACAAAAGAGGAAATAAGAATAATTAATAAAGACAAAATATGTATTTGTAAAAGTTAATACTCTTTTTTGTAGATCCTAATTTATTAAGAAAATAAAAAATTAAATATATACAACATAGAAACAAGTAAAGGAAACTAAATAATTATATAGCAAAAGTTCACTTTAAGCTAAATAGCAGTAGCAAACAAAGAGATATAGATATACCAACAACAAATAAATAAAGATTAAGAGAAAAAAAGATAAAGAGACTACTTTTACAACTATAAAAGACACATAATGGCCTTAGGGCTTCACATCTGAATTTTTCTTTCAGGCCCAGTTACAATTACTAATAAACAAGTAAGATGCTAAAAGGCAAAGCCAACAACAAACTAGACAAAACCTATACTGACCAAGCAACAAAAAGAAGATGTACACTTTTTTCTAGAGCAAAAAATAATACAAAAAGTAGACAATTAGGCACACTCTTGTCAGAAAATGCAATGATGTTATCTTGCACTAATGACAACAATAACAAATCAGTTGCAACAGATTTTAAAAACACAACTATAAGCATGATAGGCAACAATAATGAGCAAATAATTATTTCTCACAACAGCATACTTTATATTATCATAAATAACAA